AATCCAGGCAGTTTGAACCCACCAGAAAGTAGACAGCTTATCCTGGCTCTGCAGACCAACTCAGACTGACTCTGCTGGTGAGGCCCTGACCAGACAACCTGACTCCTCTGCAGCCTTGCTCCAACCACAGCCCAGAAGCTAATTGGTCAATGCACAGAGGAGGCTTGAGGAACATTGGGTGGAATGTTCATAGACTGCAGGACATCCCAAGTGCTGGCTGTTTCTCCTGTTCCTTTTGGCATGGCAATTCTTGTACTTGTTTGCTGTCTTCCCTGTACTGGTACCATCCAAAGCATCATGCCCCAGGCCCTTCCCATTACCCTTTTATGCCTCCTGGTTGCCCTAGCCAGGTCTTTCTGGTATTTCTTAAGTCTCTAGAGCTGGCTGTTACAGGGGATTGGTCCAAGAACTAACACGGGCCAGTTGGGACCTGACTAATAAGGCTGTAAACTTGTTCTTTTATGTATTCAGGACAGCTTCGGGGCACATATAAAGCTTCCTTCATATTAATGCACAACCTTCAAGTGGGGGCAACATTACACCCTCTACCACAAGTATTTATGCCTGACCCTCCTGAAGAAAGGAAAAGCAAATGATGGGTCTTCACTGATTTCCAAAGAATGCACTGTGGAGATACAAAGGCTGAGTACCTATTGTTTAAGTCTTCATCTGGCAACTTGGTTATTACCGGGGTTTGGAAGCCTGGTTTATTTATAGGCAGCAGATTCCTGCATAGATGCTTCACAGACTTCAAGTCTATCGATAGCTTTGCTTTCTATCTGCTAAAATCAGACAGGGGAAGAATGTTCACAGAAAATTTAATATGCACACCAACACATATATGATATGAGTTCCTCTATATCCCAATCACCTTTTGATACTATTTTTAAAAATTATGCTGGGCTTCCTGATGGCCTAGGGGTTAAATCTCAGCACTATCATCAATATGGCCTAGGTTCAATCCCTGGTCAGGGAGGTGACCCACATATGGCACAGTAGGCCTCTTCTGTCTCACCTGCTGCTCCCCTTAGTAGAGTATTTCAGCAAATCCACCTGTTCTCCCCACTCTCTCATGAGTCCTCCCACCTTTCACCTTCCCACCTCCCACCACCCCTCCCCACAGCTCTGGCCTACACCCCAGTTCTTCTATGCAAAATTTAAAAAAAAAAAGTTACATCATTCTGGCCTTTGTGTAATAGTACTTTTTGTGGTATGTATTTTCATGATGGCTAACAATATTGAACATCTTTTCTTACTGGCCACTTGGTATTCTTTATTGTGAATTTTATGTGAAGGTATCTTGCCCACTTTTTACCTATTATATATTATACTAGTGAATTTATCTATGCCATTACCACATAATGAAAATCAGTATCACATGCCAAAAATAAGGTAAGTACAATTCCAGTATAATGCTCATAGTATGTGGTAAGGTAGTTTTCTGTTTCCTTTTGCTTTTATCAACTAGGAAAAGGAAGTATTGAACATTATTAGGTATGCTTAATGTCATATGAGAAGTCAGTGGCAGAAATGATCTGGTCCTAGCTCCCTTTCCCTTCAATCACCCATGAAAATGTGCAGGACGAGGGGCAGGTAAACAAATAAATAAATCTTAAAAAAAGAAAAATACTTTAAAAAAATAAATAAAAAATAAAATAAAATATATAATACATATATTATTTTATATAATTACATTATATATATACACATTATATATAAAATTATTTATTTTTAAGAAATTAAACATCCAAGAGAAAGTATTCAGACAAATTCACAGGGGCTATTACGCACTGCTTGTCCTCCAGAGGGGTAGTACTCCCTTGAAGAGATGGTGTGGATCAAAAATGAAGGAAGAACCAAACAACAGACGGGTGTTGGCTCTTATTAGACTGTTGAGCTTTTGTCCCACTCCAGGGCAGCTTATCACTTGGTACACTGAGGTGACTCATGAGGGAAAGACAGCATTGAAGGCACTGGTGAATCGCTATTTCTGCATCTCCCAGTTACTGTCCCTCTGTGTCATGGTCACCTCCAGTTGCTAGACCTGTGCACAGCATAACCTGCCCAGTGTCCTAAATCCCCACTAAGGATACAACACATGGGCTCCTCCCCTTTTGAAGGTCTGAAATGGACTATGGAGGTTAAGCCCTGTTGGGGCCAGAGATCTCTAGTTGTCCTGATCTATACCTACTCTGGGTGGGTAGAAGCCTTCCCCACCAGTACAGAAAAAGACCAGGGAAGTTATCAAAGCTATTGTGAAGGAAATAATTCCTTGATACAGTATCCCTGCTACCACTGGTAGTAACAATGGCCTAGTCTTCACAGCTGAAATCACCACTCAAATGGCTCATTTTACTCCACATTAAGTGGAAACATCATACCACCGACTGGCCACAAAATTCAGGGAAAGTTGAACAAGTCAACAGGACCATTAAAACCAACTCTAGGAAAGTTCTGGCCTGTCCTGAGTGGGCCTTTTTTCCTTAGTGCTTCTCAGGATTTGCTATACCCCTGGTGCTAATAACTACACTCCCTTTAAAATTCAGTTAGGAAGACCCCCTCCTATTATTTCTATGGTCTGGGGCAACATTAGGCAGACTAGAAAATTGGGCCTTAGCCAGAAGTTGCAACTCATTAGCAATACCCTACATAAGATCAACAGAAACGTCATTCAGAGATCCTCTATCCCCTAAGGCATCCAGGATACCCCATAAACCTGGGGACCTAGCCTGAGTAAAAGACTAGAAAAAGAAACCTCAAAAGCCTGTCTGGGTAGGACACCACTCTGTCATCCTTACTACTTCAACCAAAGTTCAGTTATTGCCCACGGATT